TAGTTTTTCAAGTAATAATTGTCTCTTATGTGAACTGAGGAAAAATATAATTTCCAGCTTTTTTTTTTCAATTGGTAATTTTTATTTTCACTAAATGTTAAGTATCAATGTAATCATTTATATAATAATAGATTAGTACCAATTGTATGTCAACACATTATTTATCACCTTAAACTGTCTGAAATTTATTATTAAAGGGTTGCGCTTGCGTAAAATTTACTATTGTGGAAATTCAGCTTTTTTGCCTTTTGGCTAATCTCATCCCTGTTTATATTCTTCAATAGTGCTAGAATACCTAGTGTTACTTACTCAATAAATTGAGGCATTATTAATTGAGTAGAAAGTTCAGATTGCCCTATTAAAATACGAGTTTATTAAGCATAATTAGTAAATATAAGTGGGTAAGCTAGTGTTTTAACAAGATGGAAGATAGATGAGTTGTGAAGTATAAAAAGTTATACATTACATAATTAAACAATGCCATCCAGTGGCTAAAATGATAAATAGTGAATAATTGAATTGGAAGATTAGTGATGAAATATCTATTTTATAACAACATTTTCTAGGCAAAGGTATATAGTTAACTTTTTTTTTATTATTTAGAGTTAACATAAATCTTTGATTTTACAGAAGGGAATAAGACAATAAATAGAAACCTGTTTAATTAACCCAAAGGGGAATCAATATTGTAGGTTTCTATATTACTTCCTTTCCTATTTGGTGCCTTTGGGTGGGAGAAAGAGATTAAATGTTTAAGAACGTATGGGTGATTGTATTTTGGGCGTACCCCTGAATTCCTGGTTTTTCGTATTGTAGACTCTAAAAACTAGAAGCAAGGAATGTGAGCTTTCCGCGAATATCGCAGGATTCCACGTGTTTCAAGACCACCGGTTCACGGATCAAAATCTTATAATCCAGCGAAATGCTCTGTTAAATCCCGTTAACGAGATGAATACATGTGATTCTTCCCGCAAATTTGATTCTTTTGGTTTGTCGGAGTTTCGTCATTTTGAATATTTGGAACTGCAAATATCGCGATTTTAATATCAAACATCGATTTTTTGTATTTACCTAATTTAAAAGTCATGCCTCGCGATTCGAATTTTCACGATTTAAAAATCGTGCATCGTGATTCCTTTTACACGTGATTTAGAAACCCAATATCGCGATTCACATTCATGTGAGTTAAAAATCCAATGTCACGATTCGTATTCACGCGTTTGTCATGTCAAAGATCGATTTTCATATTTATACGTGATTTAAAAACTATGCATTGTGTGCGATTCGTATATGCGTGATTTAAAAATTCACAACTGCATTTTGTATTTCCGGGTTTTTAAAATTTAGTATCGCATTTCCTGTAAGAAAGTTTTTTCTTGAGCTAGTTACTATAAAGGTGTGATATTTTTCATTAGTAAGTAATTATAAATGATAGTTAAAAAAATTATGTTAAATATGAAACATGCATGGTGTATAAATTGATATCGATTTTTTGCACATCAAATTTTTGGGGGTTTTCCATTCGTGTAACAATTACCCCTGAATACAGAAAATAATTAAAAAAAATTCATAAACTGTAGAGTTAGTTTTTTTCTAACTGTGTATGTAGTCTAGCAATATGCAATAGATTCAGATCCTAATTACCAGAGAAAAAAATAATGATGAATTGAGTGTTGTACTCTATTTAGTCATCTTTTCAATATTACCGAATCTTCCAAAGATTTAAAATTAACAGTTCTTTTGCTTGCCCCTTTTTAACTCAGTCAACTTATTTTGAATTGCAAAAATTACATTTAAAGCTTTCTTTTTAGCCATTGATTTGATCAGTAATCTTCTACAAGTTAAAACCAGGAAGAGATATACCGTAGACAAGTCACTCTGTCACACATGGTTGCAGGTAAATAGCTGTCTTTTGTAAGTACAAATTTTTATTATTTTTTTCAACTTCAAATGTATTTTATAATTTTTTTTCTCCAGGACTATCAAACATGGTGTGACCTACGTCGACTCGAATCTGACGTCGGATCACGCTATCTGACTCATCAGTCTGACGATGCCAGATGGGAAGCCTATCGTAGATTGCACAATTTAGAAAGCCCACCACCCGTTCCCAATAATGACGAAAACCTCATGTCTTTTGATCCTTCCAGAAACTGTTCCGGAATTTTTGGAAAAGTGCGCCTCTGAAACGAGATGGAGACTCTAATTTTCGTTTATACATTCCATTTATTATTTTTGAAACTAAAAATGTGAAGGCAGCTTGAATTTACATTTGTTGGATAATTTATACATTTGTTAAAAAAAAAAATTCTTTTAAATGTGGAATCTTGATTAAAGGGATTTGTATCACACCAAAATGCATTGTGCCAATGTTAGGGGTATGCTTATCCGTGTATTTATACGATCTGCTTATTTAATGCTTTAAATTAACGGCATGTAGATCAATATGAAATATGTATTTAAACTTCTTATGTAAATGTTTATTTTTTTTTTGTACTGAAATTTTATACCTGTGAATAATAAATATTTATTATTTTTTTTTGTAACATTAGTTTTTATTTAGGTATTTTATTTCTGAATTATTCTGATAGACATAATTCTAATTTCTATATTCTTGTACTTTATGATGTCTCAAAGTAGATCGTTAGAGTCTATGGGAAAAAGAGTTTTGCATGAAGATGAATTGAGTTGTTCGAAGAAAAAGTAAAAAAAAAGACCAGAAAACTTTCACAGAGTCGCACTTTTTGTGTTAGTCAAACATGCATGATTCAGTTTTTGATTCAGTGAACCCAGCAGTGTTGGGTGCAAATGTTTTTTTTCTTCCTCATGATAATTTTTTTGTTAAAGAATCCTTATCAGCGTCTATTTTTTGTTGACAGCTGTTTTAACCTTTTCTAAGGCGGTGGTAATCATATTTACCACCACTATAACTTTGGTATACCATTTGTTATTAACTTGGGCTCTGATGAAGTAACATTGAATAAAATTGGTTACAATATGCCTGTTTTTAAGGAATTTAAAATAAGTTATAATACATAATTCCTTTTTCAGTTTGGAGTAATTATAAAATTTA